ATTAGCAACTAAAAAATATTTTTAAAAAAATCATCCTGGAAGGGCACATGAGACATCAGTAATACTACAAGCTAGCTATGACTGAGAAGAAAAAACTGGGTGACAAGAGAACAGGGATAAGAACAATACTTATTTTCCTACTATATCTTCTGTGGCTGATTTTCCCATCATGTACACACACTATTTTATGTTTTTAAGTAAATAATTTTTGAAGGCAAAAATACTCAAACGTATTTTTTAAAATGACACTAAGAAAATGGAAACAGAATTGTCCTTTAACAGAAAAACTGACTTCAAAGAATACAAAAAGTAATAAGCTTTATCTTAAGTTGACAAAAATCAAAATGCCCCTAATTCTATATAAAAATTTAATTGTGCTGGAATTAAAACAAGACATGCTTTTACATATACATATTAGGGGAAAACTACAGGTTATCACTTTTTGAGGTCATCCATAAATAACCACTATTAACAATTTGGCATATTTCTCACTCAAGTTCCATGATTAAGAGTAATATTTTTAGATGTATCTTTATCAAACTAAGAAAATTCCTATTTCTGATTTTTAATATGAATAATGAATTAAAACCTTCTAGATTCAAGATCATTATGTTCTAAAATATGAATACAGCACCTTATATTAATAGATTTCTTGCAGTTGAATCAACTTTGAAAGCTGGCAATAAACTTCACCTAGTTATGTTTTTGGTTTTTTCATAAACCACTAAATCACAGCTTCTGACAGTTATAACTTTTGCATCTATTTATACAAGTGAGATTGGTAGAAATTTTTCTTTTACTATTCTTGTTTAACCGTGGTATAAAATGAAATGGGCTAAATTTTCCTTATTATTAGTTAAGAAAACTAAGGGTCAGGATTGGGTGAAGAGTTTGTTTGGTAATAATTTGCTATTGTATACAATACTGAAAGAATATCAGAAATCGTTGACCAATATGTCTGATTCCTTAAGATAAAAGATAAAAAGTGTGACTACATGCTCAAAGCATCACCTTAGGAAAGCCCCTGTAATAGTTTATGAAAATGATAAATTCTATGTTTCTATAATGTACAGTAATTATAAAACTGTATATAGGCCCCAGAGTAACATGCTTTAAATTTTTATACAACTCCATCCCTAACAAGTTTCGATTTTACATTATTGTAACTAATATGCTTTGAAAGCCATTTTTTTCTTATGTCTGATTCTTTATTAAATATCAATTACCATTCTGATTTTATAACTAAGTTGTCTCCCTTTTCCTCAGTCTTAAAAATACTGAAATGGAAAAGCTTCATGAAACCTTATGTTATTGAGCCCATTGCACCTTACACAGGCTAAGTTCTACCACTGAAATGCTTTGTGTCACCAAACACAATGGCAGGAAGGAAGCAGTAGTGATATATATCTAACTACAGCTTCCAAACCTCCAGAGGCAGCAGAGTAATTAGGTGAGGGGAATGGGAGGAGCTTAAAGTTAATAGCAAGATCTTTGGGCTCTAACTTTAATCCCACCCTAATATTAGTGGGGCAGAGGACACAAGGGAGGAAACCACTAAAAGACAACAAAACAAGTATTTTAGCTGAAAACACTTGTTATTTTTTAAATCCATTAATTGATTTCTTGTGTTCTTCATCAACTGAATATATTTTTAGATTTATACAATTTTAATGAATTTTATTATCACCTTGTAATTTTAAGTAAATGAGCTTCACCAAATCCATTTTTGTAATCCATTTTAAATAGTTTTGTTTAAACTAAGGTTTGGACTTACCCATAAAAAAAAAAAATTTTTCCCCCTCCCACTACCCATCTTTTTTATATTCTACATATATAAGAGTTGCCTGAATGTCATCTAAAATGTATGATGTTTAAGAATATTCTTTAGTGGTTAAGGAATAAATAATAACTGTTCTATTAAAAAGTTGTAAGACACAGCAATTAACGGGGTGGAAAGGAGGAAAAGCAGTTCAATCACCAGAATGCAAGGCCTCCCACATGCCAGGCAAGTGCTCTACCACTGAGTTCCATCCTCAGCCTATTTATTTTGACACAAGGTCTAAGTTGCCTAGGCTGGCTTTGAACTTGTGATTCTCTTGCCTTGGCATCCCAAGAAGCTGGAATTATAGACGTGAATGACTACACCTTAGGGCAAGCTAACAGTTTTTGACAGACAGACTACAATTAACTCTAACATCTACATTTTAAAAAACACCAACACACATCAAAGGAGATAAACAAGCTTCTAAATTTAAAAAAAAAAAACAAAAAACCTTTTGTTAATGAACAGCCATCACTTCACTTTCATTTATCAGATAAAAGGCTAGAGGGAAAAAAATGTCTAATGATAAAGAAGCTATAAAAATATGAATAGATGGGCTTGGGGCTGAAGCTCAGTGGTAGAGCACTTCCCTTGCACGTGTGAGGCACTGGGTTCAATCCTCAGCACCACATAAAAATAAAGAAAGCTACTGGGTCCATCTACAACTAAAAACTTTTTTAAATATGAAAAGAAATCCCCAGAGCTATAAAAAGAACAGAAAATAAGAAAACTTAATGAAACTAGAGTGATTTCCATAGCATATATATACCTATAGTCACTTGTAACCGTCAGGCCACTCACTACCTGCTGTATCTCCTTGAAAATAGCTCTACCCTCGAGCTCCTCTGTGAAACTCATCACGCAATGGCAATACAAGCCTTGGATGAAGATGTGCAAAACCACACTCCATCTCCTTTTGATGCGGTGACAATCCACTTACTGGGCTCCTATCACTTCCCCTTGTGACTGTCTCAGAATCCATTTTTTCACTACAGTCTGATGCTGTATTAATCTGACTTCTGGACTTTCTCGACCTAAGATTCCAATGACTCCACCCTCACCAATCCCATTCAGGTTGAGTGTAAACTTCCTAGCACAGCCTGCTGGGATTCCTAACTATCTTTTAGAGTCATCTCTGCCATCTGCTGCTCCTCACTGACATTCTAAGGACACCTGTTTGCTGAGAAACTTTCACCAACTCCCCCTACTTCCACAATTACACAGTGATGCACTTGAGCCAACAGGCTTCTCCTGACTAATTCTGCCTCTACACCATCCAGATTCAACTCAGGCACAATATTCTCCCAGAAGGCAGCTTCCCAAGCCTCCTCTGTACATAACTCCCTGAGCATTTTTCTTTTATGACACCTACCAAAACTCAGAAGATTTCTTTTTTAAAGTTTATTTCCCTTACTAGAAGGCAAGCAATTCAAGAGCAAATTTGAGTTTGGTGAGGAAAATCATATCAGCCATGCAGTGGGCATTTAATATGTGAATGGTGAATGACCATCACCTACGCAATGAACACTCAGCAAATACAACCAAATTCATTCTTAGGCAATTCACCATCAAGTCCTGTCAGCTCGGCTTCCAAATTACCTGCCAAATCCATTCATTTACTGGTAGTACAGTCATGCCAGTCCAGCCTCCACCATCATCCTAATTGCCTGCTTCCATCCACCTCACTACACACATCCCACCCCCAGCATTTATCTCCAGGGATCAGTGATTTTGGTTAAAAAGGAACTGCTGAAATTCTTTAAAAAAAGGTTAAAATCTATTAAGAAATTTTTAGTTGCCTTCTCTATTTAGACCAACATCTGAACTCCCTATATGATCAAACTCTTTCCAAATTTTACACTCCACTTCCTTTTAAAATCTTTAATACAAAAAGCTATTTCCCACCAGAGGGTCTTTACTCAGGCTCTTTCCTCTGCTTAGAAGACTTCCTCAAGGAGCGGCTGCTCCTCAGAGCTCAGCTTATGCACCACCATCCAGCCAAGGCAGCTTTACCATCCCTTAGGCATTCTCTATCGTATCACATTGCACATACTGTCTTCTTTGCCCTCATTACCATGTCAAATTATATTAATTTGTTCATTTGTTTAGTGTGTGTATCTGTCCCCTAGGAGGGAAGGGATGTGTTTTGTTCATTACTGTATCCCCAGTGACTGGAAACAGTGCCTTGCATTCAGCAGACTATCCATAAGCATTTGTAAAACAGAAGAATAAACCAAGACCAATGACTTATATAAGATATACATGAAACAAGTAAAGCAGCAGCAATGGACAGTTAGTCAACCAAACAAGGCAGGAAAATAGTCTACCATGAGCATCTGCAAGCAGACAGGCTGGTGTTACTGGGATTTATTATCTACAAGCATCAGGAGTATATTTCTCAAAGCTCACTGGAAGCAAGTCAAGTAGAACAGTTTCACACACTATATGCTCACACACGACACTGAAAACAATCATTTTAGAAAATTTTATATTTTTGACACACACAAAAAAACTATATAAAGTATTGAAACATTTTTAAAATACCTGCCACTTAATTAAAAAAAAAAAAAAAAACAACTTCTAACAGTGGTACTTATTTGTAAATGATTAAATTTACATTCAAAACCTCAACCTTTTAAGTAATAGGTTTTTCCAATATAAAAGACTTCAAGACGAAGTCTCATTATTACATACAACATTTAAGGAGCTGCCTCATATACTGTTCTTTCTTGGCAGGAATGTTGCAACTCAAGCAAAAACTATATAAAATTCATTTTAAAAATCAGCAGCCTCCTTTAACTCTTTACTGACTGAAGTTTTGACCAAGGGAGGAGAAAACTATCAGTTATCATTTGCTAGAAATAGAAAGAGCTTTGAATCTTTATTCAAATATCCAACCACAGAAATGAGGATAAATTTAGGCAATGAAAATTTACTACATATATCTTAAGTCTTGTATGACTAAACCTCACTGTTCAAGAAAATGATTTGTAAAATAAAGAGACTTCACAAGTAAAATAAAATATGACAGGTTAAAAACAGTCATATTTTAATAATCACTGTTGAGGTGACTTGACAAAAATTCAGTAACTTGAACGAAAATTCAATAACTTTCCTTCAGGTTCCCAAAAGCAATTTTCAACAAGAGACCATCAAACTTCAGATCTACAACACTTACCTTGGTATGGTAACACATTTAGTATTACAATTTTGAGTGGTGATAGCTTTCTCAAGCTCATCTAATCGTCCTGTTTTCTTTAGCTTCTTCACCAGACTTTTCACTGCTTTCTCACACCACTTTTCTTCCTGTCCATTCTGCTCTCCTCCTCCTGCTCCTCCAGACCCACCAGCAGATTTCTTCCATCCCAGCAGTCTCTTCACCACTGGCGGAGTGAAAGGCAAGATGGACGACATACTCTTACCCAAGGAGCTCCACACTAGGGAAATAGTCTTGTGAATCTATCCTAGAAAAAGACATTGAAAGGACAATTTCAAGATCAACTTTAAAATCAAGAAATGATTACAATGTATTTTAGCAAACTACAAAGAGATACAAATTCAGATTATTACTTTCCACACAGATTTCCTTAAGTTTTCTTCACTGTCCATGAAAATGTTGTCTTTACTAATTTAAATGAATTGTGGTGACAAACAAGACAATATTACAAGGACTCAAGTCTCAGGCAAATGTAATTTTGCAAGTAAAACCAATCAGTGCTTTGAACAATTTTATCATTATTATCACTACTTTACTCATAACTCTTAATAATGTCAATTATTAAAAGATGTTCAACAAAAACAAGCCTTTTCACTTTTAGGATTTCAATCTGTTTTTGTTTTTTTAAAATGTTTTTTTAGTTGTCAATGGACCTTTATTTTACTTAACAACATACATTAAAAATGTACAACCCCACTTTCCCCAAAGCTTTAAATTTTCATAAATATTATAAAGAAACCCCTAAAAGTATAAGAAAAAAAATTCATCATGTAATGCATGTGAAATAAATCAAAAGAAGAAAGGTAGTCTATGAAGAAAAAAAATCCCTTGATAGGACCTTTAATTCAGTCTCAGTCTTTTCTAATTGGATTTTTTTATGAATGACAGTAGAATCTATTTTGATAAATTCTACTGTCATTCATAAAAAAATATATTTTGATATATTTACACAAGTGTGGAATATATCTTATTCTAATTAAGATTCCCAGTCTTGTAGATATACACAATGGTGAGATTCACCATAGTACATTCATGAGTTATGTCAGATTCATTCCAGAGGGAAGATTTCCAACTTCCTTCTCTTCCCTTCATTCCCCTTGGCCTGATTCACTGAATTTCTATTCTCTCCCTACCCCCTTATTGTGGGTTAGCATCCACGTATCAGAGAAAACATTCAACCTTTTATTTGTGGGGATTGGCTTTTTTCACTTAGCATGATAGTCTCCAGATCCATCCATTAACTGGCATTTGTCATGAAGTCATTCTTCTTTAGGTGTAATATTCCATTGTGTATATATACCACATTTTTTTTTATCCATTCATCTGTTGATGGGCAACTAGGCTGGTTCCATAACTTAGTTACTGTGAACTGTGCTGCTATGAACATTGATGTGGCTGCATCACTGTAGGATGCTGATTTTAACTCCTTTGGATAGACACTGAGGAGTGGTATAACTGGATCAAATGGTGGTTTCATTCCTAGTTTTTTTGAGGCATCTCCATCATACTGCTTTCCAGAGTGACTGCATTAATTTACAGTCCCACCAACAATGTATGAGTATACCCTTCCCCCTACAACCTCACCAACATTTGTTACTTGTATATAACCGACTTCCTTAACAAGACCCCTAAAGTGCAAGAAGTAAAATCAAAAATCAATAAAAGGGATGGTATCAAACTAAAAAGCTTCATAATAGCAAAGAAACAATCAAGAGCATGAACAAAAGCCTACAAGATGGGCGAAAATCCTTGCTACCTGTACCTCAGTCTTTTTATAACATATATTTTCATTTTCATCTAAGTAACAATGTACAAAGTGATTAAAGTCAAATATAGTTTGACATCACAAATATAGTTTCTCTTTACATCAAAATGAATTCTTTAAAATCTTTCAGCTTTCACTCTACTTTTGATATTTACACTTAAGTAACAGTCTTAAAATATCAAGTTTAGGTATTATCTAGTGATTTTCCTATAAAAAATAACTTAGCTCCCTTATACCACTTTCCTTTCTCCTACCATGAAAACAATTATCTTACAAATGTAATTATATAATCATGTATATAATATTGTAACTTGATAAGACATCATATAACTTTTTTCTCCATAATTAACTCATTTTGTTTTCTATACACCTACCACAAATTCTTCCCACACTCTTCCAGTCCCTCAAATTTTCCAGTCATAATGCACCAAAAATTGACTAGCTTTCTTATATTCACATAGCCCTCCCTCACACTTAGAGTCCTATATTCTCCCACTGCAAACTGAACTGACAGTCCTCTGACCTGTGGTATTACTGTTGTTCTAGGACCTTCCTTCACCTCTCTCAGGGCTGAAATCCCCCTCCCCTCTTTCTTTGGGATTGAAAACAAGGGCACTTAACTATGAGCCACTCCCCAGCCCTTTTTAATTATTTTTTTTTATTTTGAGACAGGGTCTTATTAAGTTGCTTAGGGCCTAAGTTGCTGAGGATGGCTTTGAACTGTGATCCTCCTGCCTCAGCCTCCCAAGCCACTGGGATTACAGACATGGGCCACCACAATAGTCTTGAAGCTTCTATTTATTTTCTTTTATTGGGGGGGGGGCAGGAGGGGCGGGGGGGGAGTAGGGGAGGCAGTGATTGAACTCAGGGATACTTGACCATGGAGCCACATCCCCAGCCCTATTTTGTATTTTATTTAGAGACAGGGTCTTACTGAGTTGCTTAGCACCTCACTTTTGCTTTGCGGAGGATGGCTGTGAATTCTCGATCCTCCTGCCTCAAGCCTCTCCAGCCTCTGGGATTACAGGCATGCGCCACGACACCTGGAAAAGCTCCTATTTCTTAATACCACATCTTCATCTTTCTTGGTTCACAGACTATACTTTTTCAACTGAGTATGTCATTCCTGAAAAAGATGTATGAAAGTTAAAATAATGTAGAAGTCTTTAAAAAGACTATGCTGGGGGCTGTGGCTCAGTAGTAGAGTGCTTGCCTAGCATGTGTGAGGCACTGGGTTCAATTCTCAGAACAACATGTGAAAAACTAAAATAAAGGTCCATCAATAACTAAAAAATTTATTTTAAAAAAGAGACTATGTTGGAAATCATTTTTACACATAATATTATTTACTTTTTCAAACAGCACTGCTTCTCCCTCTTATTAAAATGGTTAAAATGTGGTTCTATCATAATTTTATTAAATAAAGCAAATCCCAGATACCGTCATTTTACCTCTGTATAAATAGTACCCATCTACTAAGAATTTCTTCCCTAATCATTCATAGCCTGGAATCATCTGTAACCCCAAATTTGCCTGTTTCAAAAACTTTTATTTTACAATTGGTTGGAGTCAGAATCCAAAATGAAACCCACGAAGTACTAAACCATAGGGAATGAATAATAATAACCCCTCTGCAAGGGATGGTCAAGAACAGTGAAGAAGATTACCGTGATTAAAGTACACATGATAACCTAAGAGAAACTGTAATGCCAATTACAGGTACACAAAGAAACAACTCAACTTTTTGTTTCTTTTCTGAAACAGCGTCTCAATATTTCCCAGACTGGCCTCAAACCTCCTGGGCCCAAATAGTCCTCCTGCCTCAGACTCCCAAGCTGCTGGAACAAAAGACATGAAAACCACACCTGGTAAATACCTAACTTTTGCCACAGGCATCAGAAAACATTTCCCAGATGACTGATGAAACACCTGAGCTTCCTTTAAGTCTGCTTGCCATTCATTCATTCCTTTTTAAACTCAACAATTTTTATTTTGCACATTTATTATGCCTGTATTTACCTATTTGTTCCCAAACCTGCTCTGTGTTTTTTACCTATACTTTTGTACTACAGGCTGGGAAGAACGCAAGGAAGAGAAGTCCTTTATGGCAAAAAACTGGCCCAGCAAGGATGGGGGAGAAAGGGCAGAAGAGATCAACCTTCAGAGAATGATAATAAACAAAAGGAAAGAACAGATACTGGGAAAATAAAATTTACCTAATGTGGAAGAAAAAGTTAAAAACTGCAGATTCTTGCTTGAACAAAAGGTTAAATGAAAATACAACTGAGGGACTCGGGTTGTGGCTCAGAGGTAGAGTGCCCAACTAGTATGCATGAGGTGCTGGGTTCGATCCTCAGCACCACATAAATATAGATATCGTGTCAACCTAAAACCAAGAAATAAATTTTTTTAAAAAAAGAAAATACAACTGAACAAAATACAAATGCTAGAAGAACATTAAATTTAATTTTAGTTAAACTAAGTTTGGTGTACCAATGAAACTTCCTGATAGTTATGCCCAATAAGCAAGTAGAAACAAAGATCTCAAGATCTAACAGCTAAGTGGTAACACAGAGAGAGTGTTCAGGGAAAGTTACACTCAGGAAAAAATAATATGTATGAAGGAGTTATCGACCAGATGGTAGAAGCTGTAAGTGATTAGAGAGAAACAAAGGTGTCAGAAGTTCAATGGACAATTTGGCTAACATATCAGGATCACACAACTCTTCAGTACCAATGCTAGGATTTGAATCAAACAGTATGATGTCAGAGGAATAAGTTCTTAATCACGATGATATTTTGCACTGCTCATTATATGTAGATAATGTAGAGACCTAAAAATAACCACCATGAAAGCTTAAGGTCCTTACAAAGTTAACAAGGCCAGTTGCACCTGACAATAAGTCTATTAGACAGGATCAAAATGATGCACTAGCTCTAACCCCGTTTTCGGCTAAATTATCTACAAATTTAAAATCTGCTCAGTACTTACCACCTATAAGACAACTCAACTCACAGTAGCCACCTTTCAAAGGACTCAACAAACCTTAAGGACAGTGTCTCTTACTATTGATTGGTTAAGACTTGACTACTCAATACTCCTGCTTTACTCTCCCTATCCCATATTACTGATATAAAATTGTTCATAAATTCCTTGCATTAATTAATGACTACAGGATCTATACACATGTATCCTTTTTCATTCCTAATATTTGGAAATTTTATTCTATCCCCCGATTTCTTCCCTTCTCCTTCCCTTTTAATCAGTATTGCTAATTTATTATCAATTACACTAATATAATACTTTTTTTAGCTTTGTTGTTTTTTTATGGTAGGATTATTTTCTATTCATTAATTTCTGCTTATCTTCATTATTCCCTTACTTCTACTGTCTTTAAGTTTGTTGTGCTATTCTTTTTCTATAAGCTTTAAGAAAGCGTTTTCTTTTCTACTGCATAAATTTAAGGCTACATATTTTTCTA